CGTGGGTGCGTGCTGGAGGTACGCCTGCGGGTAGGTCGTCGGGCATTATATCCTTGTACTGCTCCAAGACCTCCTCCTCTGCTGCTGCCATAACAAGTGCTAAGTAACCTCGTTCACTGTCCGTTCGAACCAAGCCAGTGTCATTTCAGGAACGCTCCCTGTATCCGTCCAGCTACGCAGCTCCACTCGTTTCCCGTTGTTGTAGATGCACACCTTGCTGTTGACCCTATCGATCTCGGGGTTGAATTGCTTCAGGAAATCTCGCCCCAAGATAAAATCTAATCCCTTGATGTTCGTGATCGGCAACGTCGGCTTCCACCTCAACGCCCCTATCTGCAGCTGCAGTGGTGACTTGCTGTGGATGGGAAGCTTCGTACCGTCCACCATCGTTGCTGTAAACTGGGTTTCTTCTTTGGATTCTCCAATTTTCTCCAACGTCCCGCGGTCGCACACCGAGTGGGACGCACCACTGTCCACCAGGGCCTGGAGGCGACGCCCGTTGCAGATCACCTCGAGTACTAGTGGTTGCTGCTGCTCCGAGTATCTGTAGATGGTATCGCTTATAGGATCGTAGGATACGTCGAATATGTTATCCCTAGGTCATGCGCTCGAAGATGCAGCTTCAGTATCAGTTTTCAACTGAGAAAGGTTATTAGGATTTATCTGAGGCCGATTCGACTTCTCTTGGGCCTGGAACCTTCCACTAAGCCTTAGCAGCTGTGTAGGCTTCATCTGTGGGGAACAGGGAGCCTTTAAACAGTGCTGCTGGGAGAGAATATTAACTCCTCGGAACGCTCGACCCGTATTAGCGCTCTGGAGTAGGGTCCCCATAATACCCGGTACCGGTTTAATTTCTGACTCTCCCTTAATAAAGGCTTGAAACCCATGAGAAGTAATATTCTTACTTGTTGAGGTATACGGCTGGAGTTTCCCAGTCGGTGCAGGGTCTTGTTTCGCGGATCCTCCATTAGTCTCGGCGATTTCCCCTGGTGCCGGCTGGTCGTGACGTTTTAAATTTGCGCCACCATATTCTCGTTTTTTCGCCCTCTCCGAAGTTGCCACGTTGTCCGTTTTCTCCTTCGGGGGTGCCGCACTATTCTTGTCCTTCAGCTCCGCACACCTTCTCTTCATTTTTCAACATGCCAAGATACGATGTCCTGTAGCGCCGCAAAATTTGCACGCCTCATTATTTGCTAGTTGCTGCTCCACATCGCCCTCTTCGTTCTCCAACGGGTCGACAGTCGTAGGTGGTGCCAATCGCCCCATGCCACTAGTTGGCTTGTTGCGTCGTGTTCCGTAGTAGCTACTGTTCAACGTGTCGAACTGTCCGATCAGTGCTATCGGGAACTGCGCCCACGTCCCCTCGCCTTGGACTATTCTGTTGTTGATCCACTCTAGAGCTGGGCCTCGTAACATTGTTGCTGCGAGCCGTATGCGCATTGCGTCTTTTGTCAGGGTTATGCATCCAACGGCTTCAAAGTAAATTTCGAGTTCAGCTACAAATCGACGAACGTCGTTCCTTTTTACTGTAGGATCGAACGCCTCCGCTAGCCTCGGCTTGATTGCTTCGAGGTTAACTGTAGCCGCTGCCGTTGTCGCATGTAGAATTGTCGGTGTTGCCGCTGCTACTGTTGTCGGTGCTGCTGTGGCGGTTGCCGACTGGTTCGCAAGGAGTTTTTCGAGTCGTGGGAGCACCGCATGTATTTGCTTATGCTCAGCACGTAACTCCGCGATTTTTTGTACTGCAATATCTCCTTTTCCCTCCATTTGGCGATGTACAGGAAGATGCGCGACGAAAATAATCAAATTCTAGGTGCTGGTCAACTTACTGCGAGTCAAGTTGACTAAAGGATCGACGAGCGCGAATTCTGTAGGTCGCGTAAATCTCGCCTAGGCGAAATTCGCGTCCGATCTTGGCCGTTGAGGACAAAATCAATCCGACGGTCCAAATTCCAACTTTTTTGGGCGAAATTCTCTGGGCCGTTGAGATGAAACTCGATCAAACGGTCGAAACTCCAACCTTTCCACCAGTAAATCTGAGGGGTGTTCGAAAACCGAATCGAGGGGGACTTAGAAAAATTGCGCGGAACTGGTTTTACATACCCGTATCGGCGCTTTCGTCGTCGCCCCCGCGGTTTTTAAAGGCCGGAATGTCAGAATATTATTCTTATGTTCTAGCCTGTAGTGAGGTGCTCTATAGCGAGTACAACCCTTCTAGGGTTTGCTATTTGTATCCCCATTTCTGCTAGTTCAACCCTCTTTCTTCTTCTAACTTTTGTCACGGAACTAAGCGGTTGAAGACCTCGCGTGTAAACCCGCTCTGATTACCAAGTGTGAGGATCTAGGATCGAGCTCAGAAAAGAGAATGTGAATTGAATGAATTGAATGATCACCTGGGTACAGCACGACGCTATATATAGGCTCGACCCAAGGCCCCGTAACCAAGTGTTACGCGAAGGTTCCGCGGGCCGCGAAGCGTCCCGAACAAATCCTTACCGAATTCGGTAGGTGGCAATATGGTGGCAGCCGAAAAGCCAGAATTCGGTGCACGCAACCTAGCTCAGTGCTATAACTATAATAAAATATAAGAAAGCACCTAGCCTAGGAAATCAAGCCATTCATGCATGCATATAATTATCCTATGCTAGAAATAGCATGATAAAGTAAAGGCAAGCAAGCATAGCTGGCATAAGCCGTCGTACTCTCACACTGTCTGTCCAGTGGACCGGGTGGACCAACTGGCTTGTTGGTCCAATGGACCGGTTGGACCAACTGGCTTGTTGGTCTAATGGACCGGTTGGACCAACTGGCCTGTTGGTCCAATGAATTGGTTTGACCAATAGGCTTGTTGGACAAACTAGAAAGTTGATCCACTTGAGCAGTTGGACCAACTGGCCTGTTGGTCCGGTGGACCGGTTGGACCAACTAGCCTGTTGGTCCACCGGACCGGTTGGACCAACGGGCTTGTTGGTCAAATGGACCGGTTGGACCAACTGGCGTGTTGGTCCAATGGTTCGCTCGGACCAACTGACCTGTTGGTCCAGTTAACCGGTTGGACCAACTGGCTTGTTGGTTTAATGGACCGGTTGGACCAACAGGCCTGTTGGTCCAATGAACTGGTTTGACCAATAGGCTTGTTGGACAAACTAGAAAGTTGATCCACTTGAGCAGTTGGACCAACTGGCCTGTTGGTCCGGTGGACCGGTTGGACCAACTAGCCTGTTGGTCCACCGGACCGGTTGGACCAACAGGCTTGTTGGTCCAATGGACCGGTAGGACCAACTGGCGTGTTGGTCTCGTGGTTCGCTCGGACCAACTGACCTGTTGGTCCAGTAAACCGGTTGGACCAACTGACCTGTTGGTCAAGTAAACTGGTTGGACCAAGTGGCCTGTTGGATCAACTTGCCCTTTGGTCCAATCAACCTATTTGACCAATAGGCCTGTTGGACCAACTAGTTTGTTGGTCCACTGGAGCAGTCGGACCAGCTGGCCTGTTGGTCCGGTGGACCGGTTGGACCAATTGGCCTTTTGGTTTAATGGACCGGTTGGACGAATTGGCCAATTGGTCATGTGGACAAATTGGACCAACTTGCCTGTTGGTCCATAGGATTGGCTGGACCAACTAGCTTGTTGATCGAATGAACCAGTTGGACCAACTCGCTTAAAGGTCTAATTGACTGGTTGGACCAACTGGCCTGTTTGTCAAGTGGACCGGTTGATCCAACTGGCCTCTTGGTCCAGTAGACGGGTTTGACCAACTGGTTTGTTGGTCGAATGAACCGGTTTGACCAATATGCCTATTGGACAAACTAGCTTGTTGGTCCACTTGAGCAGTTGGACCGATTTGCCTTTTGGTCCGGTGGACCGGTTGGACCAATTGGATCAACTTGTCTATTGGTCCACTGGACTGGCTAGACCAACTGGCCTATTGGTCCACTGGACTGGTTGGACCAACTTGCTTATTGGTCTTGTGGACCGGTTGGACCAACTGGTCTGTTGGTCCAATGAACCAATTGGACCAACTGGTCTATTGGTCCACTGGACTAACTAAACCAACAGGATTGTTGGTCTAGTGGACCGGTTCGACCTACTGACCTGTTGGTCTAGTGGACCGGTTAAACCAAGTGGCCTGCTGCTCCAGTGGACCGATTGGACCAATTGGCCTGTTGGTCCAGTGGACCGGTTGGACCAACTGGCCTGTTGGTCCAATGAACCAGTTTGACCAATAGGCCTATTGGACAAACTAGCCTGTTGGTCCACTTGAGCGGTTGGACCGGTGGACCGGTTGGACCAATTGGCCTTTTGATCCTGTAGACTGGTTGGACCAACTGGCCTGTTGGTCCAGTGGACTGGTTGGACCAATTGGTCTGTTGGTCCTGTGGACCGGTTGAACCAACTGGCCTGTTGGTCCATTGGATCGGTTGGACCAACTAGCCTGTTAGGCCAATGGACCGGAAGAACCAATCGGCCTGTTGGTCTAGTGGACCGGTTTGACCAACTAGACGAATAGTCCAGTGGACTAGTTGGACCAGCTGGCATGTTGGTCGGCTGGACCGGTTGGACCAATTAGACCAGTTGGACCTATTAACCTAATGGTCGTTTGGGCTGGTTGGACCAACTGGCCTTTTGGTCCAGTGGACCGGTTCGACCATCTGGCCTGTTAGTCCACAAGACCGGTTAGACCAACTGGCTTGTTGGTCCACTGGACCGGTTAGACCTACTGACTTGTTGGTCCACTGGATTGGTTAGACCAACTCACCTGTTGGTCCACTGGACTGCTTAGACCAACTGGCTTGTTGGTCCACTTGACTGGTTGGACCAACTATCTTGTTGGTCCTGTGGACAAGTTGTACAAGCTCGCCTGTTGGTCCAATGGACCGGTTGGACCAACTGGCCTGCTAGTCAAGTGGACCGGGTGGACCAACTGACATGATGGTCTAGTGGACCTGACCTATGATGCACCGGGAAATCAAGGCAAGACGGCCTTATCTAGAGCGGCAATGATGGTTGGAGATGACGAGGAGAGTGATTACGAGGAGTGTGCTTTCGCGTTCTTCTCTCTGGTGGAGATGCCGGGAGAACCAGCAACTCTCAATAAGGCCTTGGAGAGTAGTAATGCTGAGGAGTGGAAGAAGGCCATGAAGAGTGAGCTGAAGAGCATCGAGGAGAAGGACACGTTTGAATTGGTGGAGCTACCGGAGGGGCGTGCAGTGATAACGTCCAAGTGGCTCTTCAAAATCAAGTCGGATGACGAAGGCAAGATCGAGCGCTACAAGTCTAGGCTTGTAGCCAAGGGGTACGAGCAGAAGTAGAAGGTGGACTTAAAAGAGCTGTTTGCCCCTGTGGTGAAGCCGACGACGCTGCGAACCTTATTCGCGGGAGCCGCCATCAAAAGATGGGTGGTGAGGCAGATGGACATCGTAACGACATTTCTTAACGCCATCCTTGAGGAGAAGATTTTTATGCCGCAGCCAGAGGGGTTTGATGATGGTAGTGGCAGAGTGTGGAAGCTGAAGAAGTCTCTTTATGGGCTGAACCAGGTCCCTAGGCAATGGTACATGAAGCTGCGCGAAGTGTTGGAGGAGATCGGCTTCACTCCCTCAACGGCTGATCACTCACTATCCATGCTTGGCGAGGGGGAGCAAAGGAGCTTCATGGTGGTTTATGTGGATGACACTCATCTTCTCACCATCCTCTGACCTTGTGAAGGAGGTGATGCTGAAGCTGCAAGACAAGTTCAAGTGCAAGTCTCTTGGTGACGTGAACTTCTACCTTGGGCTCCACATCGAACGAGACGTGGAGAAGCGGAGCATGCGAGTGCACCAACGGAATTACCTGGAGGCGTTGGCTGCCAACTTTGGCCAGAGTGAAGGTCATGTGGCTACTCCCTTTCCTTCTGGGTTCAAGTGTGTGTAGGGACCAGAGGAGGAGAGCGTTGGTGAAGAGGAGAGGCGCCGTTTTCACTCGTTGGTGGGCAGCCTCATGTATGCGGCGGTAAACACCCGACCGGACGTCGCGTTCGCTACCGGACAGCTAGCTAGGGCTGTGCAATGCCCTAATGAGGAGCAGGTAGCAGCTGGAATGAGGGTGGCCAAGTACCTTGGCCAAACACCGACCGTTGGGCTGCAATACTTGGCGGCGGCGCAAAGGCGCCAAAAGGGCGCGGATGGTGTAGAACCCGGGCGTTTGTTCCTCACCGCCTACTCGGATGCTTCATATGCATCGGAAACAGAGGACATGACAAGTGTGGGAAGCTTCATATGCTGTGTTGGTGGAGGCCCAACTGCTTGGAAGAGCAAGAAGCAGGTTGACCAAGCTTTGAGCTCGGTGGAGTCCGAGTACATGGCACTCTTCCGTGCGGTACGGGAGATTGTGTGGCAGCGGCATTTGTTGGCTGAATTGGGCGAGGAGCAGAAAAGACCTACCCCACTGTACTGTGAAAGCCAGGGTGCCATTGCTCTTGCTAAGAACCCTGTGTTGCATGGACTCACGAAGCACATGAGGGTGAAGTGGCATTGGACGAGGAGCATGGTGACCGCGGGTGAAGTTGAGTTGCGCTACGTGAAGACCACGGGGCAGCCGGCTGACATGATGACCAAGAGGCTGGTGGAGCAGCAGCATTAGAAGTGTTGCAAGCTGGCCGGGATGGCTCTGAACTAAGAGAGCAAGATCCTAAGGCCAACAATCCGAAGGGGAGTTTGTTGGTGCAACCCTACGGTTTGCACTGGGCTTGTTGTCCGTGTGCGTGCATGCGTGTGTGCATGGAATAGAATGAGTGCATGAAATAAATATATATTTCATGCTTATAATATTGTGTGAATGATGGGTCATGATGTCGAGTGTGTGTGTCAAGTCAATAGCGAATTATCGCGAGTCGCGTGTAACATGGTCATTTTATGTGTCCCGCGCGGTTTCTATTTTGTCGTGCGCGATTTCTATTTTGTCGCTTATCGAACGTTCGGCGTGTCGCACGTGTATGCGGCAGACCCATCAAGAACTCAAGGATGAGTTTGAGATGAAGACCCTGAGCCTTGGTGTTAACGTTCAAGTGATCGTGAAGCTCGCCAAAGAAGTACACCTCAAAAAATTGAAGATAGTTACATTTCACTTGGTGTAGGCCCTAGTGAAGGGTAGTTTCGAGACCCTTCGTGGTTGAGGACAGTGTGGCATTGTTCCACATCACTGTACCTTGGCTTTTGGGGTTTGTAGGAGCTGGGCGTCATTCCCAACTCGTACCTCTTCCAAACTTTTCCTATCTTGTGCAGAAATCCGACTGTGCTCTCTATCTTTCGTTTTAGGCACATTGAAGCCTACTGTGACAATAACACAACTCGCCTTTTGGTCTGCTGGACCGGTTGGACCAACTTTCATAGTGTTCCACTGGACCGGTTGGACCAACTTGCTTGTTGGTCTACTGGACTGATTGGACCAACTCACCAGTTGGACCACTGGACCGGTTGGATCAGCTAGCCTGTTGGTCCATTGGACCGGTTGGTCCAACTGGCCTGTCGGTCTAGTGGACCGGTCGGACCAACTGACCTGTTGATCCAGTAAACCGGTTGGACCAACTGGCTAGTTGGTAGAGTGGACCGGTTGGACCAACTGAACTTTTGGTCCAGTAAATCGGTTGGACCAACTCGCCTGTTGGTCACTAGACCGGTTGGACCAACTTGCATGTTGGTCTATAGGACCGGTTGGACCAACTCGCCTGTTGGTCCACTGGACCGGTTGGATGAACCCGCCTGTTGGTCCCGTGGACCGGTTGGACCAACTCAACAGTTGGTCCAACGGACTGGTTGGACCAACTGTCATGTCGGTCCAGTGGACCGGTGAGACCAGCTGGCATGATGGTCCGGTGGACTGGTTGGACAAACTCGCCTCTTGTTCCACAGGACCAGTTGGACCAGCTCGCCTGTTGGTCCAATGGACCGTTTTGATGAACTCACCTGTTGGTCCAGTGGAACGGTTGGACCAACTCGCCTGTTGGTCCAGTGGACCAGTTGGACCATCGCGCCTGTTGGTCCAGTGGACCGGTTGGACCAACTCGCCTGTTGGTCGAATGGACCGGTTGGACCAACTAGCATGTTGGTCCGATGAACAGGTTGGACCAACAAGCATGTTGGTCGAGTGAACCGGTTAAACCAACTGGTCTGATAATCCAGTGGACCGGTTGGACCAACTCGCCTGTTGATCAATTTGACCGTTTCGACCAACCTGCTTGTTGGTCCAATGGACCGGTTGAACGAACTGGACTGTTGGTCCATTGGACCGGTTGGAACAACTAGCTTGTTGGTCCACTAGACTTGTTGGACCGACTGGCCTGTTGGTGCAGTGAACCGGTTGGACGAATTTGATTGTTGGTCCGCTGGATCGGTAGGACCAATTCGCCTGTTGGTGGAATGGGCCGTTTTGATGAACTCGCTTGTTGGTCCACTGGACCGGTTGCATCAACTCGCCTGTTGGTCTAGTGGACCGGTTGGACCAACTCGCCTGTTGGTCCAACGGACTGGTTAGACCAACTGGTATGTTGGCCTAGTGGTCTAGTGGAACAATTGGACAAACTCGCATGTTTGTCCACTGGACCAGTTGGACCAACTCGAGGTTGGTCCGATGGACCAACTCAATGTTGGTCCGATGGACCGGTTGGACCAACTCGCGTGTTAGTCCACTTGACTTGTTGAACCAACTTGCCTCTTGGTCCAAAGGACCGGTTGGACCAACCAGCCTGTTGGTCCAGTGGACCGGTTGGACAAACTGGCCTGTTGGTAGAGTGGACCGGCTGGACCAACTCGCGTGTTGGTTCACTTGACTGGATGAACCAACTAGAATGTTGGTCCACTGGACCGGTTGGACCAACTAGCCTAATGGTCCACTGGACCAGTTAGACCGACTGGCCTGTTGGTCCAATGGACCGGTTGGACCAACTCGCGTGTTGGTACAAAGGACCGGTTGGAGCAACCGGCCTGTTGGTCCAATGGACCGGTTGGACCAACTGGCTTGTTGGTCCATTGGACCGGCTGGACCAGCCGGCCTGTTGGTCCAGTAGACTGGTTGGTCCAACTAGCATGTTGGTCCAGTGGACCGGTTGGACCAACTGGCCTATTGGTCCAGTCGACCGGTTGGACCAACTTGCCTTTTGGTCCAATAAACCGGTTTGACCATTAGGCCGGTTGGACCAACTAGCCTACTGATCTCTTGGACCGGTTGGACCAACTCGCCTGTTGGTCCAGTAGAATGGTTGGACCAACTCTCCTCTTGGCCTAGTCGACCGGTTGGACCAACTAGCCTATTCGTCCAGTAGACAGGTTGGACAAACTGGCCTGTTGGTCCATCGGACCGGTTGGACGAACTGGCCTGTTGGTCTAGTGGACCAGTTGGACCATCTTGCCTTTTGGTCCAATAAACTGGTTTGACCATTAGGCCGGTTGGACCAACTAGCCTACTGGTCTCCTGGACCGGTTGGACCAATTCGCCTATTGGTCCAGTGGACTGGTTGGACCAACTCGCCTCTTGGTCTAGTCGACTAGTTGGACCAACTCGCTTGTTGGTCGCGTGGACCAGTTGGACCAACTGGCATGTTGGTCCAGTGGACTCGTTGGACCAACTAGCATTTTGGTCCAGTGGACCAGTTGGACCAACTGGCCTATTGGTCTAGTGGACCGCTTGGACCAATTGGCCTGTTGGTCCAGCGGACCGGTTGGACCAACTGGCCTGTTGGTCAACTGGACCGGTAGGACCGAGTGGCTTGTTGGTCCTGTGGACCAGTTGGACAAACTGGACTGTTGGTTCGCTAGAGAGGTTGGACGAACTCGCTTGTTGCTCCAAGGACCAGTTTGACCAAACGGCCTGTTGTTCAAGTGGACCGGTTCGACCAACTGGCATGTTGGTCCACTGGACGAGTTGGACCAATTAGTTTGTTGGTCAAGTGGACCGGTTGGACCAACTTGCTTGTTGGTTTAGTGGACCGGTTAGACCAATTGGCCTGTAGATCCAGTGGACCAGTTAGACCAACTCACCTGTTGGTCAAGTGGACCAGTTCTGGACCGGTTGGACCAAGTGACCTGTTGGTCTAGTAAACTGGTTGGACCAACTTGTCTGTTGGTCTACTGGACCGGTTTCACCAACTCGCATGTTGGTTTAGTGGACTGCTTGTACCAACTAGCCTGTTGGTGAAGTGGAATTGTTTGACCAACTGACATGTTTGTCCAGTAAACCGGTTGGAGCAACTCGCCTGTTGGTCCACTTGACTGGTTGAACCAACTCGCCTGATAGTCGAGTGGACCGGTTGGACCAACAGGTCTGTTCGTCCATTGGACTGGTTGGATCACCTGGGCTGTTGGTCCACTGCAGCGGTTGGACCAACTCGCCTGTTGTTCTACTGGACCGTTGGACCAACTTGCCTGTTGGTCTAGTGGACCAGTTAGACCAATTGACCTGTTGGTCTAGAAAGCCAGTTGGTCCACTGGACCGTTCGCCTGTTGGTCAAGTGGACCGGTTGGACCAACTCGCCTATTGGTCCAACATACTTGTTTGACCAACTCGCATGGTGGTCCAGTGGACCAGCTAAACAAACAGACATTATGGTCAAGTGGACTGGTTGGACAAACTCGCCTGTTTGTCCAATGGACAGGCTGGACCTACTCGCGTGTTGGTCCAGTGGACGGGTTGGACCAACTCGCCTATTGGTCCAGCGAACTGGTTGGACCAACTCGCATGTTGTTCTAGTGGACCGGTTAAACCAACTGGCGTGATGTGTGAGAATAAGCGAACAGGAATGAATGAACTAGCAGTGAAATGAGTACAAGTAGGAAACCCTAGAATTGTGTACCCCTTATAGGCTAACCCACTGTAGCCTACACAAGCATAACATATATAATGTTTGACACACCCCCATAGGCAAAGTGGGGGAGAACAAGGGGTCACAAGACCAGTCAAGCAAAGCAAAGCAAGCTCAGTGTGGATCACAAAGTCACCACACAGTCCGAGCACAAGAGCAGGGCCAGAGGCCAGTTCACATGCAGGAGTACAGACATATATACAAAACTAGACAAGCAAGAGCAGGTATATATATATGTCACAGTACAAGTGAAGTCAAGAGGAGAGCAAGTGAGGCAAGACAGGCACAAGACCCAGCTGGGTGCAAAAGCGCTGATGGTCACAAGGCGCGAGTGCCTTGGTGAACACATCAGCAGTGTTGGCCTCAGAGGCCACGTACGCAAGTCGCAACTGACCACGCTGCTGCAGCTCACGAGCAAGGAAGTAGCGGAGAGCAATGTGCTTCGTTCTGTGCTCCAAGCGCTGCTCTCAACACAAGGCCAGCATGGCCTTGTTGTCTACGTACAGCACTGGAGGAGAACGAGGCGGCTCTCCAAGGTCAGTCAGCAGGTAGGTGAGCCAGCGAAGCTCCTGTGCAGCCATGGCCCCGGCGTAGATCTCAGCCTCACAACTGGAGCCGAGAACCGAAGACGAGCGAGTAGACCGCCACGAGACAGAGCCGGAACCAAGGCTGAAGGTGTAACCCTGTGACGACCGCTGCGTAGCCTGGTCGTCAGCCCAAGAAGCGTCCGCGTGGCCTGTAAGGACCACTGGACTCCGCCCTCCAAGCACTAGCCCCATGCCCGACG